TGGGGGTGGGAGAGCCTCGCTGAGCGTGGCGTGGGAGAGCCTCGCTGTCTGTGGCGTGGGAGAGCCTCGCTGTCTGTGGCGTGGGAGAGCCTCGCTGACCGTGGTGTGGGAGAGCCTTGCTGACTGTGGTGTGGGAGAGCCTCGCTGACCGTGCTGTGGGAGAGCCTTGCATGAGCTCCTCACTGCTGGGTGTTGCTGTCCCCATCACGTCCATGCCCCATGTGGGCACCCATGGCAACTTCTCATGCAGGGTTGCCCTCACCTCACAGCTCCCCGTGGGGACAGGATGTCTCTTGCTGGTTGAGAATGTGGGTCAGGTGTCAACCTTCCTGGCAGAGGGTCACCCTGTGCCTGGAGTTCAGATCCACTATAAAACTGACCCCTTAGTGAGCAACATTCTGGTATCACCTCAATCAAATGACATGATCAAGGCCATTCAAGAACCTGCCAGGCATATGGGCCCACCTCCCAGCCTGGAGCCGGGGACTCTTTCTTCCTTCAGGATCACAAGTTTGCAATCATGATAGACATAGGCCTCCATCCTTACAAGGCTGACCGTGCATTCTGCCTGTTGACCCCATGGGAATTGGGGCCCAGGTGGGGGTGGAGCTTATCGCTGTGATGGGATGGTCCACAGCTGCTCCCAGGCTCCATGCCTGGAACTCGGGCACCTGCAGAGAGTCCTCAGCGATGGGTGTAGACCCAGTGAGCCTGGAGAGCGAATAGACACTCACTTGTGAGACCTGCCCACTGTTTCCTCGCTCCTCCCACCCTCATCACCGTTGTCGTCCTCATCTTTCCAGGCACCTGCATTTTCGGCTGCCAATTACTCTGACCCCCAGGAGCCGTGCAGCAGAGAGCTGTCCCAGACAGTGACGCCAGGGCCATCAGGGTCCACATGGAGTCAGCTGCGGAATAAGGCTGATGACTACCATCCTTCCTGTTTACACAGGGCTCAGATCCCCAGGGTTTGCAGGACCAGCTAACAACATGGTCACTTAAGATGAGAACAGAAAACCAATTCACGAAAACTGGAATTACAACTAAAATACAGTAAACTTCCTAAATAATCAATAGAAAACTCACAGGAAAGAACCATGATACCTGAGGACTGAAAGTGGAGACGGCATAGAGACTGGTAGGGCAGGCGGAAGCATGAAAGGGCTGGCCAGGTGCCCACAGACAGCAAATGAAGTCCTGGAGAGATATCCCAGCTGTGGAGGTTGCCACTGAGAACTCTGGGATCTAATTACCCAAGCTGGGCCTCCTATAGGAGAGCATCACAACTGAGGACGGTACCCACATAACATCTGGCTGTGAAAAAGAAAAAAAGGAGTGGTTGGGAGCTTCAGTCACCTGCCAGCCTGAAAACAGCCATCAGCCCCTCACCCAGGCTGGCCAGGCACCCCAGTGGGGACCCCCGCCCTGATCCA